GTTTAGGATCAGGTATGTACCTGTGAGGTTAGGTTTAGGGTCAGGTATGATGTACCTGTGAGGTTAGGTTCAGGGTCAGGTATGTACCTGTGAAGTTAGGTTTAGGGTCAGGTATGTACCTGTGAGGTTAGGTTTAGGGTCAGGTATGTACCTGTGAGGTTAGGTTTAGGGTCAGGGGTAAGGGTTCAGGGTTAGGCTGTAGAAATGATAAGTAAATGAATGGAAATCCCCATGAGGATAGAGGAAGTCTCTCTTAAAGTAAAACTCTTAGAAATTCATCAACAGTTTTACATTTTAGATTAACTTTTGAAGTCAACCCAATCCAGCACGTTTGTCTCAACCAACAGACTTTATTTACTCTAACACACTCTGCAAACAGAACTAACAGCAGATTTAAAGAGAAGGATTTTTCTTACCTGACAGAACAGGAGACCCAGCACACAAACCATCAACATCCGCACCGCCATCCTCAGTGTGGACCGGACCAGACCCGAGTCTCCTCAGTGGCTTTATTTGCACACAAAGYCCAAACACATCAACTTGCAACACTTTCCCTCCGTCTGTCCTTCTCCTCTGTCCTCCTGCAGCCTGAGTGTCTCTCCGTCCTTTCCTCTCCCAGCATCTGTCTCGCAGCTCCACCCTGTCCTGTCCATAAGCTGGCCGGTGGGGTAAAGGGGGTTAGGGTTTCAGCTGCGGGCCTCTCATGAAGCCCCACCACCACCACCACCACCTCCACGGCACATGTGCTGTCACTCAGAAGGRTGATGGACGAGGGCCAAGGAGATGAGGAGGGAAAGGAAGCAGCTGCTGGCAGTGAAAACAGATTCAGTAAGAGAGTATGAAAACTTTTTAAAGCTCTGTAGTTTTAGACAAGAAAACAAAACAAAAAAAGGACAAGAGTAATTGAATTTTATGTGAAGATGCAATAAGTTCTGAATGACTTCACTGAAAATACGTAGCTGAAAAGGCTAAAATTGGGTTGCCAAATTAAAAAATAAGGCAAAGCAAGGCTAAAATGATCAGAAAGAAGCAAAAAATAGCAAAACAAATTAGCTAAACAAATGACAAAATGAGTAAAGCACTGATGTAAATTAACAAAACACAAGTTAAAATCTAAAAGAAGCAGAACAGGAGCTTAAGCTACAAGCAAACTGTAGCTAAAAGCTAAAAACAAAAGCAAAAAATCTCACTAAAAACTAGGGGTGTAAGAAAATATCGATACACTGAAATATCGCGATATTTCATTTCCCGATACTGTATCG